ACTGAAGATGTGTGGTGTTCATCACACTTGTCCTTGCATGGTGGGATAGGGGAGGCCAAGCGGGCCTCTGGGAGAGAGGGGCTGAGGCAAAGGCCTTGGTAAGCCCAACCAGCACCTTTAGACTAGCCTTTTATTGGTTGCAGTTGTCATTGTTGTTAGGAAGGCCCAGGTTGGATTCAAACCCGTCTGCTGTATGTGGCTTATGCCTTAGCCACTTGAGGTACAGGTGCTGAGCCATGAAATGTGTTTTCAATTACTGTACAGTGACACGTATTTAGAAGACTCATAACTCATGAACCTATACTTTGTATATGACCCCTGTCTTAATGTTACAGCAGCCTGCATGGGTCCAGGTGCAAGGCAGACCAGAAAGTTTGAATGAAATAGACCGTGAGAAGTTCAGACAGACTTCAGATGCCACACTGCAATTAACCTTAAGAAACTACTGCTTGGGGGCAGCACCTGTGGCTCAAGGAGTAGGGTACCAGCCCCATAAACTGGGGGTGGTGGGTTCAACCCAGCCCCAGCCAAAACTGGGGAAAAAAAAAAAAGAAAAAAAAACTACTGCTTGGCTGGGTATGGTGGCTCACACCTGTAAAGCTCAGGAGTTTGAGACCAGACTGAACAAAAGTGAGACCCTGTCTCTACAAAAAATAGAAAAGGTAGCTGGATGACATGGCACGTGCCTGTAGTTCCAATTACATGGGAGGCTGAGGCAAAAGGATGGCTTGAGCCCAAGAGTTTGAGATTGCTGTGAGCTATATACCACGGCACTCTACCTAGGGTGACAGAGAGACACCCTATCTCAAAAAACAAATAAACCTAAAAAACAAAAATCTACTGCTTGTTGAGTCTGGTGTAGTGTCAGTGAAGAATATTCCCAATGACCTGAAACACTACTAAAATACTCTCCCCCCCTTCCAATTATATGTCTGTGTGAGGCTGAATTTCCCTTTTTTTTTTTTTTTTTTTTTTGAGACAGAGTCTCACTATGTCACCCTGGGTAGAGTGCTGTGGTGTCAACCAGTTGCTCACAGCAACCTCACACTCTTGGGCTTAAGCAATTCTCTTGCCCCAGCCTCCCAAGAAGCTGGGACTACAGGCACCTGCCACAACGTGCCTGGTTGTTGTCATTGCTTTTTACCAGGCCTGGGCTGGGTTCGAATCCACCAGCCCTGGTGCATGTGGTCTGTGCCCTAACCGCTGAGCTACAGGCACCAAGCCTGAATTTCCCACATTTACTTCAAACAAAACACTATACTGTAACAGATTAGGTGCAGAGGCAGAAAAAGAATGAGAACCCTGGGTGGCGCCTGTGGCTCAAAGGAGTAGGGCACCGGCCCCATATGCCAGAGGTGGCAGGTTCAAACTCAGCCCCTGAAAAAAAAAAAAAAAAAAAAAAGAATAAGAACCCAACTATCTATTGAACCTGGAAAAAAAAAAAAAGATTTGTAAAATCTAAAGCAATGACACTTTTCTTGCTCATTTTTGAGTTTTTTTTTGGAAGTTGCTTTTCCCCAAAAGATGTTATTTATATTAACAGGTAATGAATGGGCTAAATTTCTTTTTCTTTTTTTGAGACAGAGTCTCATTATGTCACCCTGGGTAGAGTGCTGTGGCGTCAACCAGTTGCTCACAGCAACCTCATACTCTTGGGCTTATTAAGTGACTCTCTTGCCTGAGCCTCCCAAGTAGCTGGGACTACAGGAGCCTGCCACAATGCCTGGCTATTTTTTGTTGCAGTTTTCATTGTTGTTTAGCTGGTCCAGGTCAGGTCAAACCTGCCACAGCGCCAAAACCACTGAGCTACAGGCACTGAGCCTGAGTTTCTTTTTTTATTATTTAAAAAACATTTTAGCCTGAGTGCAGTGGCTCACATCTATAATACTAGCACTCTGGGAAACTAAGGACAGTGGATGGCTTGAGCTCAGGAGTTTGAGACCAGCCTGAGCGAGACCCTGTCTCTACTAAAAATAGAAAGAACTACTCAGGGTCTCACTCTGTCACCTCCACTAGAGTGCAGTGGCATGATCATAGCTCCCTTGAACTCCTTGGCTCAAATGATCCTCCAGTCTTTCAAGTAGCTGGGACTACAGGGGCATGCTACCACACCTTTTTCTATTTTTAGTAGAGATTGGGTCTTGCTCTTGCTCAGGGTGGTCTTGAACTCTTGGGCTCAAGCAATCCTCCCCGCTGGGTCTCTCAGAGGGCTAGGATTACAGATGTGAGTCACTACACCTGGCCTCTTTTTTTTTTTTGAGGGACAAAGTCTTTCCACGTTGCCCAGGCTGATCTCAAATTTCTGGCGATCCTCCCACCTCAGGCTCCCAAAGTGCTAGGATTATGGGTGTGAGCCACCATACTTGGACAAAATTTCTAGTCTTAATTTCTAATCTTCATTAAATTGATAGCCAATGCTCACATAAATGAGCACTTTTTGAGAATCTCAGTAATTGTTTCTAAGCATCTGCAGGGGTCCTAAGAGTACTCCACTGCGGAAGTGCTCCCTGGGCTAGCTGCCCTATGTGCATATGGACAGGCATGTGGAACAGAAGCAGCTCTCTGAGTAGGAGGGCCTGACATGCACACCTGGACAACTGCAGGGTGATGCCAAAGTGGCAAGTTCGCAAAGGCTCCATGAACAAGGGTCCCACTCCCCTGCATGCTGAAAGGTGAGAAGTGCCTTACCAAAGGGAGGGCAATGGAGGGGTCTGTAGGCTGGGATGGTGGGGCTGTGGAGGCCCCGAAAGGATGTAGAAGAATCTGGGCAGTGCTAAAGGCACTGAAGATGAGTGAGGCCTGTAGGAAACAAGGAGATACTCACGGTCTTTCTGGTGGCCCTCTTCATCTAGATAGATATTAGTCTTCATGTTCCAGATGAACTGGTGTGCCAGCAGCTGGGATTTGGATGCTGCCCATAGAATATACTCCCGCACATAGCCCATCTGTAGGAGAGCAAGGTCCCCCATTAGCCAGGCTCACAGCACCCTATCCACCAGGAGAGACTTGTCCTCACCCAGGGCAGGCGCTGACTCCCAGTGCTGAGCAGACCTGGCAAGGAGGAGGCCGAGTGGTGCCTGGTGGTGGGGGGTGAGCTCCCCAGGTCAGTGGTGGGTCCAACCAGGGGTCCCCAGCAGGTGGGGTCTGCAACAGGGGCGTGAGGCAATGTGTATCTATGACTCTCAGACCAGTTTCTGGGGTCAACTGTGAGAAATGAGGAGGCTGGGTCTTGAACATCATTTGAAAGTTGGCTCACTATTCAGAATAATGTTCCAAAGTGATGAACAGGTTCTAGAAAAATCTAATGCAAAAGTACCTCCTCCATGAGTCGGTGCATCTATGGCCACCATCCTAAGGACCCCTCCTCCTTTTCCTTCTTGGTCATGTTCCATGACTTGTATGAGTAACTCCAGTTTCTTGTTGTTTTTTTTTTTTGAGACAGAGTTTCACTTTGTCGCCCTTGGTAGAGTGCCGTGGCATCAAAGCTCATAGCAGCCTCAAACTCTTGGGCTTAAGTGATTCTCTTATCTCAGCCTCCCAAGTAGCTGGGACTCCAGGCACCCACCAGAGTAACTCCAGCTTTAATTACTATGTTCTAGGTTTAAAAAGTTGGGCTGAGGAGCTGCCCATAGCTCAGTGGGTAGGGCACCAGCCACATGCACTGAGGGTGGTGGCTTTGACCACAGCACAGGCCAGCTAAAACAACAATTACAACTGCAACTAAAAAAAAAAAATAGCCAGGCATGGTGGCGGGCTGTAGTCCCATCTACTTGGGAGGCTCAGGCAAGAGACTTGCTTACGTCCAAGAGTTTGAGGTTGCTGTGATACCATAGCACTCTACCAAGGGTGACATAGTGAGACTGTCTCAAAAAAAAAAAAAAAAAATTTGGGCTGGACTTCCTGGGAAGCCTCTTGGAGAAGCTTGTTCCTCTCTGCAATAGTGTGTAGCCACCCATCTGGAAATGCTGTAAAGTTGGGCAGGTGAGCTAGCATACAGGTAAAACTTCAAGTAACTCCTTGCTGTGGGTTTCCCAATGTTACCCCAGAACATGAACCTAAAGACAAACTTTGACCACTCAATCCATGCTGCTTCTATGTGGAAGTGTGCTGTATATAATTAACTCAGAGTTCCAAAGTCAAAAGCACTAAACATAGTGTCTGTCTGCCACTTCTATCCTGATCACTCCTTCTCAGCATTTTTATTAGCTTTTTGTTTCTTCTTTTCGTGAAGAAAGCAAAAGTGAATGTGTATGTATATTTATATCACTACAAGTTTAGACTTTAAAAACTTCCCTAAAAATGACAAGCAAGCAAGAAACCAGTGAAGCCCGTCCTGAGCTGGTGTAGTCACCAAGAATCCTTTCATCAGGTGACCTAGAGGCAGCAAGATCTGGGTGGACAGTCCTAATGGAAAACAGGCCCAAGACAGTGTAATCATATTGTTATTACAAGAAAATATACATGCTAGGTTAAAGCAAAAAGGTAATATTTTACTGTGAGCAACCAGTAGTGTCAAAATATTCAAAAATAAAATCAAATTAAGAAAAAAAACCTGTAATCCTACATTTGAATTACAAACATCAGTATAATCTCATGATGCACTTTTCACTTTCAAATAAAAAATTTTAAGCTTTACCACCAGGAAGACCTGGAAACAACATGCAACTCTATTGCAGTGAGCACTCTTAGTGCCTCAGCACCCTACTTTGCAGGAAGGTAAACCAGGGTTCTTTGGAAAATTGGTTGATCCTAGTCTGAAGTAGGAGAAGAGCAACAAGAGCCTTGTCACTGTGTTCAGCAAGGAGGTTTTCGAAGACTAAGATCAAAGAACAGGGAAGACAACTTGAGTAGGCTGGATAGATTGGCAATCAAAGCAATGGCAGTGGACCAGCATGCAGTCTGTCCAGATCCATTACTTTATAGCAACATTTAGATTAAGAAAAAGAAAAACTGCTCACTTTGGGTAATACAGAGGAGTTAACTCAGTATTTTGAAAACTAAAAAATTAAAGGAGTGAAGAAAAATAAATAAAATTTTATTTTTATTTTTTGCACTTTCTGGTGGGGGCTGGGTTTTAACCCACCACCTCCAGTATATGGGGCCAGCACCCTACTCCTTTAAGCCACAGGTGCCTCCCAGGAAAATAAATAAAAAATTCAAAGAGAAGCTTATGTAAAATACCAGCCAAACAAAAGAAACCATAGTCTACCTGCATGTCCTGGTGAGGACCACAGCCCCCACCTACGCCCTTATGCGCTACCCGTCTCAGCCTCCATGTGCTACATGCAGCCCACTGAGCATAAGGCCCGGGAGGTGTGGCCCTGTTCATGTGGACAGCCTGGGCTCCACTCCGTACTCTCTGGATGCAGAGAGCCAAGCAGTCCAACGAGGACACATGGGAAGGAGTAGAGGAGAAAAGGAGGCACCTTCCTGGAGGTAAGGTGCTCGCAACAGCCCATGAGCCTTGGCTCCAGGGCCAAGGACCCAGCTTTGGTGAACACAGCTTTACCAGGATCACTACTCAGGGTTTGAGAGTCTGGCACTGCCCAGTCAGGACAGTGAATGGTTCCACAGGACTCAGTGTTTCAGGAGACAGTGGCTGCTGTTCTAGGAGCACTTTGGTCTATGGACTCTAAACGGAGCATCATCCCAGTCTGCAGGGAAGAAGCCAGCCCGAGACACTCCGTGCTCACAGCCACTGTGGCTAACAGAAGTGTCTGGTGCCCACGGCAGCTGTAGAAACAAGGTTGCCCCTGGGTTGAGGAGAGGGCAGATGAGTGGCTGCGCAGACATAGCGTGGTGCTGGCACAAGGCCCTGGGAAATGCTGCTTCTGGGCACAGGTGGTGTGTGTTCCTGGCTGTGGTCATTCTGAGGGGTGTTTTCTGTGTCACACCCCATGTGGAGCACTTTACGTGGATATATGTTGTTAGGGGATGAATTATATCTCCCAAAGTCACATGTTAAAAGTACCTCAGAATGTGACTGTATATGGAGAAGTATTTGGAGGGATTTTTTTTGTTGTTGTTGCAGTTTTTGGCCAGGGCTGGGTTTGAACCTGCCACCTCTGGTATATGGGGCCAGCATCCTACTCCTTTGAGCCACAGGCAACGCCTAGGAGAGATTTTTTTGAGACAGAGTCTCATTCTGTCACCCTGGGTAGAGTGCTGTGGCATCATAGCTCACAGCGACGTCAAACTCTTGGGCTTGAGCAATCCTCTTGCCTCACCCTCCTGTGTAGCAGGGACTACAGGTGCCCACCTCGACGTCCAGCTATTTTTAAGGACAGGGTTTCTCACTCTAGCTCAGGCTGGTCTCGAACTCCTGAGCTCAGGCAATCCACCAACCTCAGACTCCCAGAGTGTTGGGATTAGAGGAATGAACTAGTTGGGTTGGAGTGTTTAAAGAGGTCACTAGGTCAGATGAGTGGGTGGGTCCTAACCCTGTGAATGGTGAGATTAGGACACACACCAAAGAATGACCAAGTAAAGACAGGGAGAAGGCGGCCGTGGACAAGCCAAGGAGAGAGGCCTTGCAAGGATCCAACCCGGCCCACGCCTCATCATCAGACTTCCAACTCTCAGACCTGGGACAATATAAATTCCTGTTGTTTAAGCCGCCCTCTCTGTGGTGCTTTGTGGTGGCAGCTGAGCAGGCCAACACACACGTCATCCTGTCCAAATCTCCTTGTCACTTCCCACTGGAGAGCCAGTCAAGAGTTGATGAGACTCAGAGACTTGCATATCCAGGGCATATCCTGGGCAGCCCACCCAGGCTGTCCACCCTGGCTGGCAATAACCCAAGAACCACTATTCAGAGTGTGCCTGGGCCTCTCTTGCCACAGCACTAGTGACCAGGGTCAGCCATGGTGGGGATGGGGGGACTACAGGGAGCGCAGTCACAGCTGGGCTCTCAAGGAGGTTCCACAGAGCCCACAAGGGTTGGTGGCAGGCTGGGCATGTGGGTGGGAGGTGGGAGCTCTGGAGTGAAGAAGAGAGCTGCTGTGGGCATGGCCTTACCTTGTCGTATCTCAGGGCCTGCACGATTTGGGGGATGTAGAAGAGGATGGCGTCCTGTGGAGGAAAAGGAGAGGGAGCTGTGTTGCCCCAGGGCCCTGCCTGCTTCTGCTGTGCCCCGGCATGCTGTCCTCCTGGAGTACCACGCAGGGTAAGGATGGGGAAAGCCCCGAGGACAGCAAGAAAGCGATCAATGGCTTGGAACATGTAACTGGTAAAAAAGGAGATGGAGCAAGGCTTCTAGCCCTGACTTGGGAAGACAGGCTGCCATGGATCAGACTGTACGCCCAGAGAGTCGCCCCCAGTTGTCATGACTGTCTCGTGGGCTCCCTGGATCCTGCGAGATTGTGTGTGTTTCCAAGGCACATGGGCACTGATGGGATGGCTCTGCTCAGCCCCTGTTGCCCAGGGATGGCTGACAGGCCACCTCCACAATCAAACTCAAGTAAGAGTTCTTCTTTTTTTAACTCAAACAATTAAAGTTAAAAACAAATAAAACTAAAAAATACATCTGAATTCGAACTAAATTCATCTTCTGTAATGACTAGAACACAACTGGGACTGAAGGTATGTTCTAAGATGGACTGATGTTTACTCAGGCAGACTCCAAGCTGACAAGGAAGCCCTGTCTGGGCTGCAGGCACCTGCCCCCACAGTCCCCCTGAGGCCTGCTCAGCAGGCCCTGGCTCACCGGGGGGAAGGACCGCAGGACTTTCACCCCATACTGCGCCGTCAGAGGGTGTGGTGGGTACATGCTGGAGAAGTAGGAGAGGCCCGTGGGTGGGTCCGTGGGTGCCCAGCATAGCACGTGGCTGAGCTCTGGAGCGTCAGCATCGATGGTGTGCCAGGTGACAAGGAACTGGGGAGAAAGGAGATGGTATGGCTTGGGCAGTCTCTGGGTCCCTCTGGAAGTACCTGGCACATGACCCACACCACAAGGATGCATATGGAAAGGGAAGATAAAGCTTTTGTAACAGTGTGGAAAATGTTTCTGATATGTTATATTAAGAAGCATGGGCTCGGTGCCTAAAGCTCAACCAGCTAAGGCGCCAGCCACGTACACCTAAGGTGGCGGGTTCGAATCCCCAGCCCGGACCCGCCAAAAACAACAATGACAGCTGCAACCAAAAGATGGCCGGGCGTTGTGGCGGGCACCTGTGGTTCCAGCTTCTTGGGAGGCTGAGGCAAGAGATTCGCTTAAGCCCAAGAGTTTGAGGTTGCTGTGAGCTGTGGTGCCACGTACCCTACCAAAGGTGACATGGTGAGACTCTGTCTCAAAAATAAACAACAACAACAAAAAAACTATGGTATATGTACACCATGGAATATTATTCAG